TGAAACGAATTACTTGTTGAAGTTCATTAGTTGCAAATGAAAAATCGAGATAAATAACTAAACATCAGTACGGCTTTCTGAATAAATTATGGACTGAAAATGCTATTATGGACCTTGTTGCGAAGGCTGTCGATGCATTGGACAAGTCCAGGAAGTGTTTATCCATATTCCTTGATTTGGCCAAAGCATTTGACACCGTATCCCATAGTCTACTAATAGAAAAATTACGTAGATATTGATGGATAAGACACTAGATGTCTTGCAGAACTATTCAGCAAATATATTACAAAGAGTTGAAACTGATGAATAGTTGAGTATCTCACGAGTAGTCACTATTGGCGTTCCTCAGGGAATCGTTATTGGACCACTTCTCTTTCTCATTTACATAAACAGTATCACAGGAATGGCCGAATCTTGTGGTCACCTCATCTGTTATGCTGATGACATAGCTATTGTATACACAGTAGAATCATGGAAAGATGTCTATAAACTTGCTGAAGACTGGCTCCAAAAGATTAAGAGATGGCTTACTCATAATCCACTGGCCTTGAATGTTAGTAAGGCGAATATTGTGAAATTTTCTCTGCAGCTGATCAGCCACACTGAACAAAACTAAAAATGAAAAGTTTGAGATGCGACTCACATCAACCATGTAAATGTGATATAAAAGAAAATACTTTAACTATCAAATACTTGGTTGCTATGCTGGACCAGCATTTCAGGTGGGTCCAACACATGAGTCAAGTCACTGAAAGACTGAGAAAGCTTATTTACACTCCTATAACCTACGAGATATTCTAGATAGGAAGAATTTGAGAATGTGTTATTCATCTTTAGCTGAGTCGGTAATACGGTACTGTATGATAGCTTGGGGTGGAACATTTCATAGTACAATGACCTGCATGCAAACAGTGCAAAACACATTATTAAAAATAATATTTGAGAAACATTTAGCATGCAAGTGATTTTTCATATACCATATACCATATTACTAAACATCAGATCCTTATATACTTTCCAAAGCCTGATATGAAACATTGAAAAATACAACCAATGTGAATCCAAAGTAAGTAGACTCTCAGAAAAAATACATCTACCATTTTTTCGCAAGACTCACACTCAGAGATTTGTTTTCTTTTTTGGTCCAAAACTCTACAATATGCTCCTAGCACCTCTGAAAAATATCAACACTCTTCCCAAATTGAAAATAAAATTGAAATTATACCTTCCTGAAAATGCATCATTATCCAACAATATCTTTTGAATTCTGTAATAATTGCCATTATAAGGGAAATGGAGAAGGTTAATTTATTTTCTTGAAAATAAGAATTCATTTGTGAACAGCATCTCTCTGCCGGGTCAGTTCAATATTTAGATAAGCATTTTCGCGATTACATTTTATCGGTCATATTGAACCCAGTGGCAGAAAACGGGCTCATGATGACTTAGCGTCTGGAGGAATATAATATATGATTGTAAGACTTTGTCGGTTTCGCCGTCGCCATGTAAGTTAGAGTACCCAAATAACCGTATACATTACATGTGCCCATAATCACGTTTCTTAGGAACGATTGAGAAACCGCTGACCCAAGGTCTGGCTGATAATTGTGTTGACTCGGAAAAGAGCCGCCATAACTAAATAGGCAGAACCACATCTTATCAAAAACAGAGGGTGACCAATAACGTGCGATGAAAAATAAAATAAGTTTCAAATGGGAAGGGTAATGGAAAATAATTTAGCAAGACCGTAGGGAATGACCAATCACGGAAAGTTAAGAGAAAGAACTTATTTTTCGTTAAAGACGGTACTGGGGGTTCGGAGGTTGCGGAGGACCGAAAAAAACGGTGACGACAGGGAGTTAGGGGAACACGGCGGTCAGTGGAAGACGGGTAGTCAGCGGGACTCCGGGCGATTAATGGTAGTCAGAGGGATACGGGAGTAAGCGGAATAAAAATAGTTAGAAATACTGATTTCTAGATACCGGGGGCGACGGAGTGAATCTTGCGGTATAGTGGCGTTAGGCCGGTGAATTAAATTTTTTTGATGTTTTGGTTTGTGGCATTAGCCAGGGTTACGGAATCAGGACTGGACAGGACGAACATATCACAGGCGCAGCTAGGGTAATCGAATACACCAGGATAAACGGAGTATCGTGAGTCAAATTTTAAATTGTACTAACACCCATGTAGTTTTATTGAGAGAGGTTGTCACCTTGAACTTTATTCTTGGGTTCGGTTATTTTTGAGGCATTGAAGTTGAAAAGAATGACAAGGAAATTATACCACTTCCTCCTTGGCTTAGAGTAAAACTCCAATTGATATATAAGTGATAGAAAGTCAATATTAGTACGGCGGCCAGGCAAGCCTATAAAAAGTTTTTATTATTTTGGTCATTATTTTGATAGAATTTCAGGTATAAGGTGGAAGCCTACCTTACAGGCAATACAATTTAATGTGTTTTTGAGCTGATAACGAGTTATCTAATTTTTGTATAGTATTTAGTATAGGAGGGATTTGTGGTACGAACAATTTTGTTTCTTCGGGTTTCTTGTATTTTATTTTTATATTCAAGTGGTTTATACGGTTTTCTTTTCATTTATTTGTATTTATGTATCTACTCTTTACACGATGGTAAATTGTGGAGGCTCATAATTGCAATACTGCATACTGCAATCTATAACTTTGTTAAATTTTGGTAACAATTATTCTTTTTTTTTATATATCTATAACCGCACATTTCTTTTATTGGCTCGTTAAATTGAGTAAGTCCCTGTCCTATAGAATAATTAATCGGCCTTCAGCTGATAAAATTAAGCTTCAACCTCAACAGGAGGAATTTCAAAAGGGAAACCCTCAGTGTAGTTTAGGTTTAAAAGACCAACCTTCGTGCGTTTGGCACGAGTCCAGCAGCCCTACGAAATGGTGATATATTGGTGACAGATGGAGGACAGTAAATAATTAAATTTGATACTAAGTACCGTAATAATCTGGACTAACACCCCAGGTATTACAATCCTCTAGTACAAAGCTGATACAAATTTATCATATCATGCGAACATTCCAAGGAGTATTCATTCATGAAATACCCGCTCGCACTTTTGATTTTGTTTTCACGAGGCACAATACAAGCATATTCTATGCTTAGGTGTAATTCTCGACTTTTTGATGAATCCAAAATAGCACATAAAATAGTTACTCGTGTAACTATTTTATTTAACGTGTACTCTTTGCTGGTAATTGAAATGTACTGTAGTTTTTAATATCAGTCAATGATGAAAGATATAACCATAACCTCTGGCGTACATTATTTCCGAAACTGAAGACGCCAACTTTGTTGGTGAAACTCGCGTCGCAAATAGTAGTCAGGAGACGCAATTCTGATCCTATAAAGAGGCCTTTAGATGAACAGGCCAAGAAGTATAGCTCAAAAGCTCGAAAATCGTACCTGTGGACCATTTCATTGAATATCTTCTTCAGCAGTCATAATGTGGAAAAAATAATGGAGATTCCGGAGAAGTTTTCGGGTGCTCAAGATGTAAGATTCTCACCTTGACAGCCTTAGCAACTTTTCCTTCGTCAGATATACCTGACAAAACATTATATTCAGCCATACAGGGCTTTTTGACTTCTCGTTTGGGTGAATCACCATTTGAGCATAAGCATTTGGTAACCTGCTCAGGGGTGGACTGTTTCCTTTTCTGTTGTGCAGATTCTGCTTTCATTGCTTGAGGTGCAAGGTGGATTCATGAGATACCCTGCTTTCGAAGAGGCGATAAATCGCTTCCTGTTTGCACCACCCAGATTCATAGGTTTGCTTCAACATTTGGAGAATTGAGAAGCTCTTGCGCTACGGAGATGCTAGAGGGAAGATAGTTGGGATCGTTTGGTAGACATTTATTTTTTTGTGAAAGCATAGTCAAATTCTTTGGTTACTTCAGGGTTCATGAAAGGCCTCACGAGTAGCTAGGAAAAGGAAGTTTATCACGGCAGAACCTCGGATAACCGTGACAAAGCTCAAATTCATACATCCTTCTGGCATGAATACACACGCTTCGAGATGGGGGGAAGTTTCGAAGGGTTCCACCTCCACAGGATTCACTTCACCCAGCAGGCAAGAGGTTCTACAGCGACGGACGTCACTGTAGAAAAATGAAATGAACATAAATGACGTGTGGATATCTGCACTCGGTGATGGCAAATTATAACTCAATGAATTGAAACAAAGCCACGCTAACCGCCGATGAAATATATCCGGAAACTCGATACCTGAAAATATTCTAGTGTGGGACAACTTGTTTTCTTCGACGGAAACGTCAGGTGTGAAAATCTGAAAACCTGAAGGATGAAGTTTTTCACCCACTTGTCCGGCACAGCACAGCACGGCCCTTCTCGTCAAAATACGTATAGGATTGGAACATTGAGGAGGAATGGACTATCGCGTTCTAGACCGGCTCGGCACAGCCAAGACCGTCCGTCGGAAAGAGTTCTAGTTCTCCGATCCTGTCCGGCAAATAACGGTATTTGCTGTGACGGACAGGACAAGTGAGCGCGTTGCCGGCCAGCGCTTGCCAACATTAACTTGTCCAAACGTGCCTGGGAAGTTTCTGTCTCTCCATTTTGCTATTCCATCAGTTGACAGCATAGTGTCAGAAATGTAAGATATGTGCAATGTACAAGAAAAAATTGAGTTGCTTGTTGAGGCTGGCTCTAGAATATCCAGAAGTTCTGTAAACTTGCCTGGAGTCATTTGGAAATACTGGAAAAATTCCTCCTCGTCTTCTTTCAGGTCGTTGAAAAGATAACGAAACTATCCTAGATTTGCCATCTTTTGATTACCTAGGCTAGACCCACATTTTTTTGTGACTTTTCTCTTCTACATTCAATAATGCGGCCACTATAATGACGACTTCTTCATCAGAACTGCTGGTGATAGACATGTTTCTGTCACTACTCGATGTCAAATGAAATTTCCTTGGAATTGAAGAAGCAGCACCTTCAGTATGCTGGTTGTTGCTGGACAAGTAGGCGATGCTTCTACCCGTCGCCATCGGGCGACAGACAGCGCCGTGCTGTGCTGTTCCGGACAAGTAAGCGACAGGCTTAATAGTTATTTCTAGCCGTACGAGCTCACACTCTTTGATTTTAGACACGGTAACTCACACTGAAATAGCAACAGATTGTTTTCATGAGAAATCTACTGTTAATAACTGTTCAACTGTTTGAATTTTCTAGCAAGTAATAGTTCCAAAATATCTTACATTCTTCAATTTTCCTTTCCAGAAGCCCACGCGAAAATCTTCGGCGGCCCAACGAAAAAAATCCGCAAAGACAAAGAGCTGCCACTGCGGCTGAGCTGCGTTCTGATCAACTCCATTGAACCCCCTGAGTACATCTTCTGGTATCACGGCGACAGAATGATAAACTACGACCTCGAAGACGGTGCGACGGTGAGAGAAGGGCCTCAGGGGAGCGAATTGATATTTCCGAAAGCCAATCGAACGCACGCGGGAAACTACTCGTGCGTGCCCTCGAACGCCAAACTAGACAGTATATTGGTTTACTACGAAGGTGAGTTGTATTTTTAGGTTTCAATTAGTATGTGACAGGGTCAAAAAATTATACATTTTTTCATAATACATAACAAGAGTGTGGGAAATTCTTAGAGTAACTGAGCATGATCATTATCACAAAACTTTGCCATAGAGCTGATATCAACGTTGCGGAATATGATGAAGATAACCCAGAATGAAAATAATAGTTACGAGTTTTTTTTTTACTCCTCTGAGTAGAAGTTGAAACAAACCGCTTAAATGACACGATGGAGCATTAACGATCTCTAGTAGATAAACGTTAGAGCATTTGATAGAAAACCACTTTCCTGGAAATGTTGCTCTGGATAACAACAGACCTCCCATCGAAAACGCTAAACGCCCAAAAAGGAACGATTGAGAGGTCGTCAAAAAGGTTATCACATATCGGCAGTTGAATGGGCTATCAAGTCGTTTTAACCCTTCAAATCTCCTGGAGAGGATGGTATATTTCCAGCTCTTCTTCAAAACGGACTGGAAATAATTTTTATCTATTTTCATAAAATTGAACAGAGCTAGTGTGGCGTGGAACCATATACCACCCAGTTGGTTGGCAGCAAGCGTGGTACACTCGTATATACCTAAAGTGGGTCGGAAAGATGCACAGCCTGAATCGATACGATTGAGGGTGTGTACAGAAACGACTCTCCTCGATAGAAAGACTGGTCTGGATTCCTGGCCACACTAACCTGGAAGGCAATAAGGCCGCTGACTCCCTTGCGAAGGAGGATGCTGCGAGTAGCTTCATCGGACCAGAACCTGTCATTGGCATCGCTTTAGGCTTTGCCAAACACACATTGAACAAACACATGGTTGGCAAGAAGATCTATGGACTTCTGGCAGAATCTTTCAGGATTGGCTCACTCCGAGACGTTTATTCACCTATCGGAACTTGATGTCAAACAGTTGTTGGACTTTAGTAGGGATGAGCTACGATGTCTAACAGGTCTTCTTACAGGTCAATGTCATTTGAATCATAATATACAGAGACACGGACTGTAATTACGTACGAGTGTCAATGACAGACAATTAGGACTGAAACATTTATTTCCGTTCATAGGTTACATTAAACATTTTTTGATTTTCAAACTCTCGAAGGCATCTAAGAACTTAGGCATGACCCACTTATTCTGTGTAAGGTCTCTATGGCATGTTGAGCTACATTAGGTTTCTTTGGTCTATGAAATCGACTATGTGGAAAATTTTTCTTGAAGCGTGCTTTTAGATCCCGAATTTTTTGACCGACATATTATTCAGAGTGATCGTCATAGCTTTTTTCGTCAATCCCAGATCTTCCTTTACCGTCGTCTTGTTTTTCGGGTTTCTCAAGACTTGTAGAAGTGTAGGAGCAGCTTCTGTAGCTAAAAATTTCACCTATCCTTTGGTGTATTCTGGTTAGTATGTAAAAACTATCAATCTATCAATCTATTTGGAAAGTCTATAATTGACGAAAACTATGTCTAAATTTTCCCTTTCTGTTCAATGTATCCACTATGAAGAATACTCGTTACTGTCATCTATCTCCTTGACGACTTTTTCTCCTGCAAACATTTCTTCTGTGAAGAATCCTCTGCTACACCTATCGAATATAATCCAACACCCTTCGTAGTATCAGCCAGAGGAGCTATTGTTTTCTACTACGTGTCACTCCATGACCCTACTTTGTAGGTGTTAGGGTTTTAACCCGTTACCAATGTGGACTGTATATAATTATACACTAGTATTAATGAAAGGCCAAGTACTTTCAACAAACTATATTTCCAAATATTACACAATGTGCAAAGTATGCACTGTCTTTCTTCTATTCTAACGTGTTATCATCGTTACACTTGACTAACAACCCAAAAGCTCTTAAAACTGTTATCTCTCTATGCGCGAGGGGTGTGTTGGCACCGTTGCCAGATATATAATCTATCCTATAATTTCTAACAGTAGGTGAGTGAAGATCGGTCTGAATGAATTGTTCCTTTATATGATTCGATTTGAAGCCTATCAGATGAAGTAGAAAATATCATTTACATGTACTAACAAATGTAAAGGATAGGAGATTGATCCTTGAGGCACTTAATTTTCTACGACAGCATTTGCAGGTATTTCATAATTGATATAGAATAGTTGTTTTATTTGAAGGAGATGTTCTTTGAGGAATTTGAGTAGTAGTCTTCTTAGGTCGTAATGATTATATAGACGACTATCACTTCATATGTGAGCATGCCTTACTTATGATAAGAGAAATTTACTTCTTTATACTAGGATTTGTACCATTCGGATACGCGGTGGGTTACTACCTTGTACGAGCAGAAGAGGTGATGACAAATATAATGCTTGTCGCTTAAGGTTCGTTCGAGATATGATACTCTGAAATAATTTGATTTTCAATAATGGAGAATCATCAATTTCGTGTTGATGTAGGTCTGCAAGTGTCTGCAAGTGTGCCCGTTCCAATAACTGTATTTCTTCTGTGAAGAATCTTGCACGAACACCTGCTGAATATATTCCAATGCCCATCATGGTATGATCCAGGGGAGTAGTTATTTTCTGATAAGTGTCAGTCCATGAAGCTACTGTGTAGGTGAGTGGTGACTGGCCTGAACGAATTGTTCCTATATATGATTTCTTATGAATTATATTTCGTTGCTCGAAGGGACCAACTTAAGGACAAGAAAAGATGATCCTGGCATTTTTGTTGTGGAAGCCGTTAGATATATTCAAGTGATATTTGATGAATTGATAATAATAATAATGATAATAATAATAATAATAATAATAATATTTATTTTCCTTTTGACATCTAAAATGTATAGAAATAGTCATTCATAAAATACAATAAAATAAAGTGGTTACAAAACGAAACAAAATACCACAAAAATTGGACAAGTTTATTATTCTATTTTGGAGTCATCTTATAGGTCTTTTTCTTCCAAGTGTTCAAAATACACCACAGTCTTATAGTTTATTGCATCTTTCGTCTCACCTCTCCATGACATTCATTTCAATAATCTAGAACTCGCAAAGTAAAGGTTTATTGCGGCTCACACCTATTCAATGCCAAAAAAAGAGTCCAATTTCTCAGCTCATTTTCCAAACAGACACGACACGGACTGTCTTCCGACAATTTAAGTCTCTGCATATGATGATTCACACCTCTGAAGTTGGCGTCTTCAGAAGATGAAATTGCCTGCTTCATCTCAACAAAATGTCAACATGGGTTGGCAGTTCGAGTGTATATGAGCAGTGTTTGCTCCGGATTTCATGGTTCAGACAGTTACCTATGATTTTCCAAGGGTTACGTGCTCGAATTTCGTCGGTTCATGATATACTTAAATGACTTTGAATTTTCAACATCAAACAAATCCACTATAATCCAAAACATCCAGCAGCAATATTTTGGGGAATATTATTGATGGAAAACATATCGTTTGACAAAAACAGGCCATCAGGATTCTTCGTCAATTGGGTTATATTAAATGAATTTACATCTGCCAGACGAATGTGACTTGCATTCAGATAAATTGAAAGGACTCGCAGACTTCATTGAATTCTTCACTTGATCACCAGAAAATTCATCTTGAATATGTTTGTGAAGACAATTCCACAGATCTTTGCAAACCATTGTTTATTGGCAAAATGTTTCAACACTGAAAAAAACTTATGATGCACTGTTTGGAACCTTTGGTATAGTAATGAATATTACTGGAGTTCTTTCCCAACACCAAATCGTTATTTTTAACACCTCGATACGTGTTTCGATCACCAAGTGATCATCTTCAAGAGAAGAAGATTAAACTGGACACTTTCTTTCCTAAGCTAACGCTATTTATGCGTTATTCAGGTAAACCATACAGGTATACCACCCATACAGGTATTCCACCCTGAATTAATTTTACAATTTGCCTCATCTATTATTTTTCAATATGTCCTTATGTAGTGTTTAAATTTAATAGTTATATATAAAACAATTTTCAGCTATATAAAAATTAATTCCGCAATATTCCTATCTAAATTTATTTTTACAATGTGTCCTCATGTAGTATTCAGTAAATCCTGTAATATTATTTCAACAAGCAATAATGTATGCTATTTGGTCCGTCAGCGTTATTCATAATGATATTATGTTTACTTATTTCTAAACTATCATATGCATCTAGTTGCCTTTTGTTGTTAACTTGTCTAACTAATCTTAATGAACTGAAGTCTATGGAATGGTTTTGTTGCAAAATATGATGAGCGACTGCTGATTTTTCAAGTCTTCCATATTTTAAGTGTGCTATGTGTTCCTTGTATCTTACTTCAATAGATCATATCGTCTGTCTATAGTATTTTGCATCGCAGTTCTTACATTCAATTTCGTGAATTTCAGACTTTTCCGAATTCTCGACTTTGTCTTTTGGACTTCCCAAAAGGCTCTGTAGTTTATGACTTGTTTCAAAAACCACCTTCATACCTAGTTCCTTGAAAATTTTCCCAAAGTTCTTCGTATATTGGTGGTATGGAACTGAGATGTATTTATCTTGGTTTTTGTCCTTTTGAAAATCGAGATTTCGTTCATTCTTGACCTAAACTACTTCTTCCTTATTATGTCATCTACAATACCCTTCGAGAAACCATCAGTAAAGTCAAAAGATGATGTAGTAAAAAATTCAACCCAGCACGTTTGTCCACAGTGATGTGAACTGTCAGGAATATACCTGTACGTGCTTGTTTCTTTTCTAAATATATCGTATTATAACCCTCCATATTGGCTCCTCATTAACAAAATGTCAATAAATGGTAGTTATCCCTTATTTCCTAACTCATACGTGAATTTTATTGATGGACATATATTATTTAAAAGGGGAACAAAGTTCCCAATATTCGATTTTTTTATATCTAATATCGCAAAAATATCGTCCACATACTTTAGCCAAATCCTAGGGAAATACTTTAAAGGATTTGGCTAAGGTATGGCATACTATTCAAATTCTCCTATGAAGAATTCCATCGGAATGAGGATGAAGTCTGATTATTATTTTTTATTTTGGAATGCAATCATTTGTGGAAGTTCCATAAGTCATTATTGAATCAGTATGAATCGACTTTCTTCAATGCTGTAAAATGTTATCTCTTTCAATTATGCACGATCTATTAGGATTGTTCTTGGAACAATGAGATATTTTTCTTCTTTTCTTTACATTATCAAAAAACAGTTTCTGAAACGTTCAATTTCCTAGATTCATTTAAAAAAAAATTCAAGATATTTGGTTATGCATTAGGAAAGATTATGAGGGTTATAGCGGAATTTATATAATAATAATGAGCTGAAGTAAACACTGAATATATTCCAACACAACACAATTTTTCTCCAGAATGATGTGATGACTGATGAAGCATTTCCTTCGGCGTTTTTTAAGGTTCAAACTGCCGGTTCTACAGAAATATTCTTGATGGGTACTATATATGGAGTGAATAACAAGTTGACTCCGTGAGCACTAGTTAGTGATTCGTTTCAAAATTCAATTCAACTGAATTATAGTTTCAGCAAAGTCGACCCTAACCTTCGTTTCCAATAACTCCTTCTCCTTTTTCAGACCGCACGACATTCGCTAAAAGCCAAGATGGGAGCGGTGGTAAAAAGTCGCCGTCACAAGATGATATCGTCAATATGCTGGTGCTGATCTCGACCTTTCAACTCTGCAGATGACTTTACACACTCTGGACGTGACGACAATGCAGATACTCTAAAGTTATCAACCGCAAACACAACGTAAAATATTATGAAAATTCGCCCGGCTTCCAGGATGCTATTTCAGTTAATGATGATGTGTGTTTGGAGTAAATGACTTTTGTGAGCTTCACTGTTTCGAAGAAGTATTGTTAATTCGAGATTTTTTTTGCTTGCAGTTCCTAAAATGGTTTCGAGAATCAGATGTTTTGAATCCATATACAAAATATTCCATTATGAATACTCTGACCCGTTACTTGATGGAAATCAATAACAATATCCATGTTATTAATTACAAAATTTGCGCAATAAATTTTATTCAAAACGCGTTTCGCTACACGGTAGCTGAATTAATTAGACTGCTACATCAAACTATTCTACAATATTTTTAATACAGGGTGAGAAATAAATACGTAGAAATATTCAAATGACGTATTTCTGAGAAAATTTTGAGAGAAAAGTCTATATGAACTTGTGTCCGGAAATGCTTTGTTTCCGAGATACAGGCTGTTGAAATTGAAAATTTTTTGTTCGTTTTTTCAAAGGGTATATTTTTAGAAGAAATTGATTTTTGGAAAAGGAAGTTTCTGTCCTCCTACTGAGTAGATGATGTTTATATGATACACACATCTTTGTACTGAGTTAATTTTTCCAAATTGATTCTTTTCTTTCTTTGAAAGATTCCCACATTTTTTGTATCAAGATGGAAAAGTAGAAAGCCAAAAACTTCCACTATAAAAATAACTTTTGCAAAAAACTGTAGTTAATAATTATATATAAAATTATTACAATGTGTTAAAACAACGATAAAAATAAAATAAATACAACAATAAAAATTAATTGGCGCTCCGGGGCGACTTCATTGATTCCAGTGGCGCATTTGCTTTTTCAGCTGCAGGAAAACCCGGAAAAACCTGCAGCACCACATCATCTGAAGATCTTGATCTAACAATGTCCTCTCTCTCATAAAACAAAAAAAAAATAAGTTATTTGTGCAAAATTTGGTAAGCGAGCTTTTTTAACGTGAGAAATCATAATTTCATATTAATTCCATCTGTAGAGTAGGGAGGGTGAGTATAGGCCCACACCACATAGGCAACATGTGACCCATTGTACATCCTCCCGAGGAGTTGTCTTCCTAGGTCCTCGTCCATTCTGTCCTTTTCAGGAAGTGGACATGTCACTAGGAGACATCTCTTCTATATCGGCAGGTGTAGGCCAAGACTCGCCGAACAATCTTTCATTGACGATAACTCTGAACACTCGCATAGGACATGCCTGACAGTTTCACCTACCTGTTCACACATTCTGCAATAACCCCATATTATGGAGGTGTTTCTTTGGTTGATGGTGGCCAGTCAGAATTTCTTCTGCGCAAGCTTCTCTGGGTCACCTGGCAAGGTTGCATCCTTTGATTTCATCCTATCGCTTTAGGGATTGAGCATGGGTGTGACGTTTGGCTAATTTAGCAATTGTCGAAGTCATCAGGCCGTAGGTGCCACTGTGTCCTGAAATTCTTAGTTCAGCCGTTTTCTTGGCTGAAGAGTCGGCAATGCGATTACCTCTACTCCTGTCTTGCCCGTAATTCCACCTCAGGATAATATTATTATCTACCGAGGCTTTGGCTGAATCTTGGTGGCACTCTAGTACTAGCCCTGAGGTAACACGTTGTTCAAGGTTAATAGGGCTTGTATGCTATCATTGCAGATTGTTATGTTTTTGACAGAAATTCCTCTCCTAGTTATTTCTATTGTGGCGATTGAGATACCAGATAGTTCTGTCTGAACCACGCTGGTATTTTCTCCCATTCCTCAATTAATTCTTAGGCTTAGTAATTCGGAGTACACTTCCACATCTTGAGCCTTCTTTGGATTTTGAGCCGTCAATATATATGCGTATTGCATTTGTAATATCTGACTCTGTGTTCTATTTCATTTGTATTTTGTAGGGTTTATTAAATACAAACTTGGGTTCGAATGCATCACTGCTTCAATTGACCCATTTCTACTTCGAAGTTTAAACCAGTCATGCGCAATCGTAACATGGCCATTAAGGCAACCTCTCTAACGTACAAGTCCGAGGGGTCGGACTGGTAATTAATTTCATTGCCGCAGTTGGTGTTGTTCTCATGGCCCCTGTGATGTTTGAACAAGCCAATCGCTGTATTTGATACAATTTTTGGATGGCCGTTGCTTGTAGAACTTTTGGTCCTTATGCAATGGCTCCGTACGTTAACTTAGTATTATTGCAGTGTAGATCCAGGTGACCTCACGGAGTGAAATACCACATGCATGCCCTACTGTCCTCCAATATCGCTCTTAAGCCACATGTTTTTTTTTGCTCTACTCTTTAGGTGAGAGTTTCATGATAGCTTCCTCTCGAGGATAGTACCAAGGTATTTCACCTCTTCAGGAAAGTTTAGTTTGCATTTAAAGATTTCGGGAGGTTTTAAGTCTGATAAACTCCTTTTCGTAGTGAAACGGACCATTTCAGTCATCTTGAGGTTGATCTACAGTGAGTGTTCTTGTCACCATGTTTGTATCGAATTGAGCCCATCCTGCTCTCTATCGCACAGTGTGTTCACTGATACTTGTGTATTAATTACATGTAATTTTATCATTTATTTGAAATTGCCTCAACTTTTTTGACTTTTTTCATGAAGAAACCTGATTCTCACGAAATATCAACAATTTTCTATATCGATGCATTTTACTTAGCTCCTAGGGCGCTAAGTAAAGTTGCGGAGAACATTAAAAAAACTAAGTATGTGGTGAATCTTGTCAAATCAAACAACTTTTTATTATGAAATGGTGAAAAACAATCAATCGTTTTCGAGATTCGGATTGTTGAAATTTTGTATGACATGTTTGGTTTCTGTCATTAGTTTTTTGCAACTTTAGTTATTCGTATCTCGAAAACTGTTGATTTTCCGATAAAAATTTTATGAGAAAAAGTTTTTTATTTTGACGTGATCCACCATACACTCATTTTAAATATCTCGAAAACGATGACCTTCAGCCTTATTCAGGAGTTATACCTTTGTTTTTTGGAATAGTGTGAGAATAATGTTTCTTCATGAAAATTATCCAAAGAGTACTGTCAAAACAGTTCAGGTAATTTGAAATAAATGATGACAGCGTAAGCAGTGTCCTTTGGATGTTACATGGGAATTATTACAAAACTATGATTTCTCAAGTCAAAAAAACTCCGGGTACCAAATTTCGTGCAAATTACTTATTTTTCGCAATTATACTTTCAGAAAAGCAGGTTTATTATTGACATTTAACGTCATGTCAATATTCATTGATATATGTATAATTGATATATTTATTACTGTTTTCCTAGAAGTGATATTATACTGACTGTTCTTTCAAAATCGGAAATAATGATTTATCTAATGGAGTTTAGACATGAAATGTTGATATTTTACCTGCTATCCTTGAAGTAATATTGTATTATGATTGATTTTTCGAAATATACAATGTTTCATCTGTTATCTGATGAGTTTTGTCATTTTCTACTGTTCTGAATGTAAAAAAATTAACTTTAAATGTTCAAGCCCGTCTCGGATATACCTACACAATAGGATGAATGGACTGACACCTATCAGAAAACAAATACTGTGGCTAGTACCATGAACGGCGTTGAATTCTATCCGACAGGCGTCAGTGCAGAAATCTTCACAGACAATTTTCTGTATATACAATTGGCAATACAACTGAAAGAGTCGACCTTCAATTCAGGAACGGGCACATTTGCAGACCGGTTTCAGGCTCCTTAGCCACTCGTCAGTGAAAGATAGTGGCCATCATCGACCAAAAGTTATGATATTCCATAATTGAAAATCGAAATTCTTTCAGAATATTTCATTCCTCGTCTTACGTTGGAGGGAACAACAATAATATCCCTCCATCTAGTGGACGAGGTACTAAGCAACTGCATATTCAAAATTTGCCCGATTCCTCTGAATAAAGAAAAAGAACTTTCTTATCAGTCAGTGGGCTATGTTTGAAGACAGGCGTCAGTCCATTCAACCTACTGTGTAGGTATATCTGAGACTGGCTTGAACATTCAAAGTTCATTTCTTCAGATTTGTTTACTGCCTGTCTTCAAGCATAGCCCACTGACTAATAAAATAATTTTCTACTGTTATATGAAAGATATTGTAGAATAGTTCAATGTACCCGTCTAACTGATGAAGCTACCGTAAAGCGAATGAAATCAATATCATGTATAAAATCTTCAATGACAACTGATAATTTTGATAAAAATCAAACACTAGAAAATAATATTTGGAATCAGTATGCATCTAGTTTTTGAACAGATCAAATCGAATTGAGACTCAATTGAGTAAGTGAAGCTAAAATTCAAACATTCAAGATGAATTCAATTGAAAAATTCAAACTGATATACAAGTATGGTCCAAGAAATTTGTCTGGAGCAGTTGTCAACTGCTCCAGAACTCATTCAGTGAACATACGTCGTTATCTATGGTCGTTTACCTTTAGGGCCTGGGTCAGGTGATTTCTGTATTGTTAGAATTGTTAAAGTTTCGAGGTCCCTGTTGGAAGACCTTTTACATAATTTGGTACTTAGAATGAAACGCTTTGCAGTTTGTTCATACATAGATCAGGACAAAAGTAATCTCAATATTGTGATTATTTGATATGATAGTTCTTCCTCATCATTATCAGTATCAATAATTAATAACAGATAAATTGGCCTCGTCTTGGTTGAAATCTGTTTATATTGAACCCATTTCATCATAGAAATTGTTACGTTAGAATTCTTGTTAGAGGTCGATACTATTTAAACTTTAATATTGTTGTTCAATCGAATAAATAAAATATATATCTCTATGGAATATGTTGATCAATAAAAAATACCATTGAAAAATTTCATTCCAGAGATTATTTTGAAACTACATGCTTTTTTGTTTATATACAAATTCTGGTCAAAATCAAATGGAGTTAGCAAACTTTCGTTAATACATCAATAAAAAATCATTTAATCTTCAATATTCTGAGGTGAAGCATATACGTGACCCACTTGAGAGCGGACACCTTCCTGAAATGTGCATCTTGCAATTTCGAAGGTCTTCATTTTGAATTATAGAGCTCGAAAAATTGTCCTTTGAAACCTAATATGATTTTCTCTCTACAAAAGCCAAGGCCTGCTACGAATATTTTTATAGGTTGAAATAC